TGTTATTATAATTCTCCTCATATATATATATATATATATATTCATTTATTCTATGAATAAGTTTATTTAGATTTATTTCATTTAATAATTCATATTTTATATCAAATATCAACGATCTAATCATTGGATTTAAATTTCTTAATGCATATATCAAATCTGTAAATTTTTAAAAAATTTAAAAATTATTTGATGCTACCTTTCATTAATACAAATTGACGGATAACATATTTTATAATTATCCATCAATTTGAATTAATGAAACAAAGTGTCAAATGATTCTCAAATTTTTAAAAAATTTACAGATTTGATCTATATATTAAGAACTTTAAATTTAACGGTTGGATCGTTGATATTTGATATAAAATATGAATTATTAAACGGAATAAGTAAACTTACTCCTGAAGTAAACGGATCACTCCTCATATATATATATATACAAGATTATAATTACATCGGTGTAACTTTTACTAAGTGTTACACTGCTCAATAACTTTATATTAAATGTAAATTTTGCAAATCCAACCGTTAGATTGAAAGTTCATATCTCTTAGATCATATATACAAAATTTTATATTAATCCAAGATGATTTGATATTTTATTTTTATAAAACAAAATTGACGTAATATATTCATTTCAAAATACATTAAAATATGAACATTTTGATTACCTTCAAGTTGTTGTTCAATTTTAACAAAAAAGTAAATTATTTTGATTTTAGTTGCAATTTGGAATAAGGCAGCCCAAGTTGATCCAATTTAGTTAGGAATGAAAAATAAAATGACTAGAAATAATTATTATAAGCTTTCAAAAAAGAAAAATAATTATTGTGTGGTTTAGAACAAAATTATACAACTAATTTGATGTGTTCGGAAACTCATTGATTGGGAAATAAGAAATGACATATAAGTATAACTACTAGTTTTTCAATAAACCTGACCAAACATGTTATTAGAATTTCATTATTTTTATATCCATTATTTTAAAATGAATAAATTATATTTCAATTGCATTTCCTTGAGCAAGAAATGATTGGTTTGAGAAAGTATTCATTTAACTTTTTCTTTTCTTTCTGGTTCTTCTATAGCCCACGCAAAAGGCTTGAGCTGTTTGAATTTGAAAGCTATGCTTTCACGCATGCTATTAAGAGCCCAAAAGTGCACCTTTGTCCTTGCTCTTGCTCACGCCACTTCTCTTAATTTGCTTAATAATCCCAATGTTCAATTTATCAACGAATTAGAGCACCATAAGAATTATATTCCACATGAGAGGTGCGAAAGAAACCTTCACCACGTTAGCCCCATCATAGCTTTCAAAAGCAGACGAAGTTGTTGACCCTTGTTTTGCAATTTGTTTGTGCGTAATTGAATGGCAACGTTTACTTTCAGTACATATTCCTTTACTTTTCTGTTTTTTCTCCATATTAATTATTATACAAAAAATATTTATACTAGTTATGTAATCCATGCATTGCAATCATGTGAGTTGTTCTACACTCTCATTCTTGACAAGATGTGTAACACATAGGGATGTCAAATATACCCGTACCAGCGGGTAATACCCGAACCCGTCCCGACTTTGACGGGAAATATCCGGTTTGACCGGGTACGGGTACGAGTACGGGTAAAACCCGATATATTAAATCGGGTACGGGTACGGGTATGGGTATGTACGTACTCGTACCCGTACCCGTCCCGGTTCTTATTTTTAATTTAATATTCACTTTCAATTTAATTATATTAAAAAAATTTAATATTTTTTTATGTATGATTATTTATTATAATATAAGTTAAAGAAATCACCTAATTATAATTATAATATAATAAAAAAATAATTTAAAAATATCATTTTTTTTACAAAAAATAAAAAATAAAAAAATTGACGGTACCGGTACGGGTACATGTATACCCGATACCCGACGAGGACGGGGATGGGGATGAAAATCTATACCTGACGGGTATTGGGACGAGAATGGGAATGAGTTTAACTTGCGGGGACGGGGACGGGTATCATGAAACCCGTACCCGCCCCGCCCCGCCCCGCCCCGTTGGCATCCCTAGTAACACATGCATTGACAGATTTTCACCTAAAATAAAATAAAATAAAATCACTGACAGATGAAATTTTCATTTTATCAACAAAATCATTGACTTCACTCTGTTGCCTTTATGGAATTAGAAGCGCCGACGAATTTCAAACAAGGAAAAATTTAATGTCACTGACCAAAGAAAAAAATTATATTGATTTGTCGTGAACATGTTAAACAAATAAAAAACAATTAGCTATACTTGAGAAATTGTATAAAAACAATTAGCTATACTTGAGAAATTGTAGATTAAAAGACGACGAAACTCATATGTATATAGTACATACGTAAATCATAACTTCCGTAATAATCTTTTTCTCTCTAAAAATTCTCTTCAACAAATTTTCATGTGCAAATTTTATAGATTAAAATTATATTAATTAAAAAATATAATGACACATTAATATAAAAAATTGTAGAGAAAACATAAAACATTAATTATATTAGAAATATTTATCGTATATATTTTGTATTAATTTATATTTATATACATGAGTATATTTTAATAGTAATATTATAGATAATTGTATCATATATATTTTAATTTGTATGTTTTTCTTTATTTAGAAGAGTTCTAAAATTACCTTATGAAACTCTATTTTAAGAATTTTTTAAGTTGTGTTTTAGAATCTTCATATTTTTCTTTATATTTTTAATTGAACAAAACAAAAATATTTTGATCGTCATTGTAGGTACGTAATTGTTAGTAGTATTTATTCAAAAACATTTTAAGTGGGTTTTCAAGTTTCATCCATGAGATTTATGAGTAAAAGATTTTCAAGTTTCACCTCAAAACTTGAAGAGAGAATTTTCAGATACAAATATAGTACTTTTTGAGATAATGAATACCCTTATGGATGTATGCATGAGAGGTTGAATCATGTTAAAATAAAATTTTGTGTGGTGATGTTTTTAATGTATTTCTCATCATTCTTGCATGTAAAAAGGAATAGAGCTTTTTTTTCTTCCAACAATGATACTAAAGTTCATGGTTCGTACAATATGTTGACCTGTCTTTTGAGTATTGAAGATTGACACAAGGCGATTCAAATATTCACATAATGGAGATAAGAAATATTGTAAAATAAAATTATGGTTGAAGATGATTGTGATGATCATTCAAGACAATAAGAAGATAAAGTTTGAAAATTTTAATTGAAGGATGAATTGTTGAAAAAAAAATTCAAATTTTCAAAATTGAAATATCTAAGATACTGTTTAGATTTTAAAAGATATTAATTATTTTAGGATATTGTTTAGAATTAAAATTATTTAGAGCAACACAATAAAAAGAGAAAAAATGTTTTTAGATTGTTAGAAAATATTATTAGAAAAATAAAATGAAAGAGAGTACTATGTTGTAACACTAATTACTACTGACTTAAAAACAAATTCTTATGGATTTTCAATGCAACACAAAATTCTATTTTTCATCACAAGGTTAACACATTGACATGTCTAAACATATGTATTCGAGGTGAAATATGTTAGAGCATCTGCAATGGGGCTGCTTATAAGCAATCCCTGTGCCACATCACTGTCACATCAGCTCTGATTCACTTTGTGAGTTGCTTAAATCTTAGCAGAGTTAAATTTTAGCAAAATTGTTTGTAGAAGCAACTCTGCTAAAATTTAAGCAACTCATAAAGTGAGTCAGAGTTGATTTGACAGTGATGTGACATATGAGGTTGCTTATAATTTGAGATGCTCTTAGAACCTTATAAACAATACCTATAAAAAATATAAAGAGAAAAGATGGAGTGTATAGATTATAGAATAATTATTATATGTAAAATGTGATGCTTGTACCTTTTATAGTGCAAAATATCTTATTGTAGGCAATCAATTAAGGATAGTTAAATGTTATCAAAATCAATATTGCGTCTGCATGCTCTTAAATGTATTAAAACTACAGACAAAGAATTAATGTAAATCAAATGTTGCCAACAATCATAAATTTGATATAATGAAAAAAATGAAATTAAAGGTCAATGAAAGAAAAATTAAATATCATTACACTAATTATAATAATAATAATAATAATAATAATACAAATACTTAATATATTAAAATCTATTAATTTAATTTAATATAAACAAATTAAAAATATATATTATCTCCACTTTTCTTTTACTTCTCTCTTATTAAATAATATATTTTTTAAAGGTTTAGGATTTGATCAGAAAAGAGAAGGTTTGTCATGTCAGGCCTTTTGTGGACTAGACCACAGGCCTTCAATAGGTAATCTGGCATATTCCTACTCCTATTGTTTCATAGTAGGTTGGTTAGTTAACCTTTCAAAAACAAAAAAGACAGAGAAAATAGAATACCTCGATGAATTAACTAAACAATAATAAAATAATAAAAAATTAAAAATTACTTAAAAGACATTTCTTATCACTCATTTGTTAAAATTATGACTAAAAATAAAATAAAAAATAATTAAATAGCATCCTCTATATATGCAACAAAATAAGATGCACATATTTCAGTTATCTGCACATTTTAAAAAAATATAAAATAAAATTTGAAATGTGTAAACCATAATAGAAAGTGCAGGTCAGGGACCATCCTATAATAACTTAAAATGTCATTCTTCTTACAATAATATTTTTATACATTTATCCTAAAATTACACCTTTCTTATCCATTGGCACACAAAAGTTTCCACTTCCCTCAACTACGTTACGACTTTCTCAGAACACCAAAGCAAAAGCAGTACACTCCAGAACTTCCAACACTTAACCTCAAAAGCCAAAATGCAATCATTCACTCCCTTTCTAGGGTCCGTCTTTTTCTTGGCGTTAATATCAAACACTCTTCCTTCCTCCAACACCGTCCCTTCCTACCCGACCCAAACGCCGACCCAGATATGCCGCCTCGACCTCTCCAACGAGCTCTTCGGCGGCGTCAACCACGCCTGCGGCACCACCCTCGACCGCAGCCGCTGCTGCCCCGTCCTCGCCGCCTGGCTCTTCGCGGCCCACGCTCGAACCGCCCTAGAAGTCTCCGCCCCGGCGCCGCCTCCCTCCGGCGACCTGCCCATGATGCCAGATGACTCCCAAAAGTGCGTCAACTCCCTCCAAGACTCACTTCGGAATCGGAGCATCCGAATCCCACAACCGAACGCCACCTGCGACGCCATTCTCTGCTTCTGCGGCATCAGGCTCCACCAAATAACCTCCCTCAGCTGCCCCAACGCGTTTAACGTCACCGCGTTTCGCAACGTCTCCGGCACCCACAACGCCACCCCCACCGCCGTCGTTCGCAGTTTGGAAAAGAATTGCCGCAACGCTTCCTACGCCGGCTGCACCCAATGCCTCAATGCCTTACAAAAGGTTGCACTTACACTTCTTTTATCCTCTCCCTTTATAAACATTGAATTTAGTTTACCTTTCGTCGGTGTGGGACTATCGAGTATCGTTCATTGAATCATAATGCAGCGTTGATTTTTTTGCTTGTCGTAGTAATTAATTTTGGGTTGACCTGCGAAAATGACACTGCCATGTGCATACGGCCTAGGTTTAGCATTAAGTCTTACATGGTCTACAAGGCAATGTTTGGTTATTGTAACTTTGATTGGTTTTGACGCAGATAAAAGGGTGTAAGAAGGAGAATGAGAGTGAGAGTGAGAGTGAGAGGGCGAAGAAGATGTTTAAGCGGGACTGTCAACTCATGGCGCTGACGTGGCTGCTTGGAAGGAACAAAACGGCGTACATACCCACCGTTTCGGCGGTGTTGCGAGCGGTGATGTACAGTGCGCATCCACACGAATCCAAGTGTAGTCCCGACCAGGAGAACATGCCCTTGGCCGTTGATTCCCTGCAATTTGAGACGAGCAAGGGTTCATCTTCGCTGTTGAGGTTGTCTTCGATTATGCTTGTCATCGTTACAGTTGTTTTCTGCTTCTGATTGAAGGGTCTATTTGTTGCGCATTGCGAGGGTCCTCGTGTATTCGGGATGTCACGTGAAGCTATTACTATTAGACAAAAAATGTGCAACCAAGTCTGTCTTTTCTCACTGTAAATTTCGGATTCCATTCCCTTATTAATTTTTGTACATATCTATCCATTTATTATTATTATTATTATTAAAAAAAGTTCCATTAAAACACTTTTAAACATGATCTTTTGAATGTGTATTTATTTATTTATTAGTTGAATTTATTAAAAATCATGAAAATTTATAAGTCTTCAAGAATCATAATTTATAAGTAGCAAGTTAGCTAGATAGTGGTATAGTGTAGTACTGTTTTAGGTCGTTCCTAGTCTCTCTTATTCTTTATTTTTCTCCTCCAATCCAAGGTTGGATGTACCTCGAGGCTCGCCGAAGGGTACAGGCTTGGTTACCACTTACCCTAACCTATTTGTCTTTTACATCAGAACACGGGGCATGTCACATGTGTGACCTGTAGTGCGATGCGATTGTGCTATTGTCTTATTTAAGTTCTAGTTTTTCTTGTTATTCCTTTTTATTTTTGTCAACTAGATTACCTTTTATATTCCTTTTACAAATTGTTTTGGTCCACAAAATGTACTATGCATAATTTAGCTTATTATTTAAAGTTAAAAAATTCAAAGATGTATTTTGTCTATTTTTATCTTAGAATTAAGATTTTATATTTGATTATTATGATTTTACGAGTCTCGAAAATTTTAAATTTTTATATGATCTTTACTCATTATTGGATATTTTATGTTGATGTGTGATCATAGTAATTTAAGGTAAGATTTTGTCCTAGATAAAGGGTCAAACTAATTCCAAATGGGCTTGGGAGGGGCTTGATCGATTGCATGCTAGATACAAGGCACAAAATAATTTGGATTGGCCCTAGGATTGGCTTGACCAGTTATATGTTGTAGATAGGGGTGTTCAAAAAACTATATTAAACTAAACTATTGTAAAAATTAAACTAAACTAGACTATAAAAAATTAAACTAATTTTTATAAAAACTAAATTAAACTATATTTTAAGCTTTAGTTCTAAAAACTAAACTATTATAAAAAGTAGTTTAGTGCACTATAATTCTAAATAAATAATTAATTTATAGGATTAAAAAAATAATTTTTATTTATTAATTGAATAAAAATTTATATACTTTTCGTACTTATTACTCTTTCAATATTTTTAATATAAATATTAAAAAAATTAAAAAAATGTATTATATATATTTATATACAAACTTATCTATTTATTATCCAAATAATTTTATTTTTGATGGTAAAAAATATTATTATTTTAATAAAAATAATTTACAGATATTTCCTATAAATCTTTTTATGAAAAATAATCTACAAGAAATTTTTGCAAATTTTGCTACAATTTTAATGAT